TATGGATCAAAAGCTCCTTCCTTTAGGAAGGATTTGATACCCAGCCATACATAAAATCCAAAAATCAAAAAGCAAGCATTCTCAACTGCTTCTCCAAAAACAGGAACAACAGTTGGGGTCTGTCTACTGATTTCACTTCAGTAAAGTAGCAGCTCACCTTTGCTATTCACAGACACCTGCAAAGAGAAATAATAGTGAGTAATAGCCACTGATATATTTTTGTGATTCTCTTAAAATTAACATGCTTTCAAAATAAATGTCCTTTTATACAGAGTTCCTGAAGTACCAGTCCTTCAGATATTTGTTATTGCTGCCACGGTTAATCATTAACCAATGTTGTGGAGTTCTGGAGCAGACTGTGTTCTTTACTAGATTTGCACAACAAGCAAGGTCTCTGGCACCTACTAGCACCCAGAACAAGTCTGGTCTCATCTACTGGAAGCAAGCTGGTGCCAGTAACACTGGGTTCGCTATACAGGTTCACAGAGGTTGGACCCAGTCCCTTTTAATGCGCAACACAAAAGACTTAACTGTTCTTTGGATTTAGACACAAGCCAAGCCCATCTTCTACAGGTGCTCATTTACCAATTTTGCACATAGGTGTCACTAATACAAGAATCTGTTTAACCACTACAGCATTGCATGATTGTGAACAATGCTTACTCTATTAGTATTTGAAAAATATCTTTAATACGTGCATCTATATATTTATATAGATACAGGCTGGAAAATAAGGGGAGAATCTTTCCCTGAAATGTTGCTGGAAGCATCGTGACATTTCCCCTTAGGGGAAAAAAAAAGATAGAAACAAAGATCCCCATCTCTGCACTTCAGTAGAGCTACAAACCAAGCAGTGGAACACAGATTTTGCAATAGTTATGTGCCGTCTGAGAGCTACATTCTACTCTAAATCTCTAGATAAACAGAAACAACATGAGAGGGTGAGCTTATGCCCAGCAGGAAGTTACTCAACAAGGACAACTAGAAGTAACCAATTTGTTTTCCGAGTCAGTAATCTGCTTGGAGATTATAGCATTTGCATAGAACGAGCAGAGGATTTGAGCACCCCAGATCACTGAAGCAAACGTATGCTACATTTTTCAGAGGAAGGAGTACAGATCGAAGAGACAGGGCTTTGCCATGGCTGCAAACACAAATAGTTACAACTACCTTATTCTGATAAAATGAAAAATAAGAGAGTCCCTCAACAGAAGCATCCCTCCCTCAGAGCCCAGAGAACCACTGGCTGTTTCTGTAGGGTGGGAAAAAGAAAGGTAGTAGCTTCTAAAAAAATATTTTTAAAATAAGTATGCTACATTAAGAGTGAAACAACAAGACTAATAGCTATTTTCTTATCAAAGGGGCAAAAACGTCACCTCTGATCTGTATAATAGACTCTCCTGAAGGACCCACTACAAATAATCAAGAGGCAGAAAGGTTCACACCAGTCATATTTTGGTAGACCTGTTGGGAGGGTGGGGGGTATTTTACCTCATCATTATCCTCATCGATGTATTTGATCTGAATGTTGTCCAGGTCAAATGAAACTTTAACCTGTAAGGAAAAAACAACACAAACCCACAATGAGACAAGACGACAGATGCTTCCAGTTAGTCATGATTATTAATAGGGAAAAATGTTTTAACCCTTCCACCCCTCCCTTCAGTTTCTCAGCTGAAATAAAACACTGTTTTACAGAATGCATTCTTCTGGAGTTGAACCACTCTCCCCAGTGCCTTGCCTCCAACCTTTACTAACTTGCTCTAATGAAAAGAAAACATTCGTTTCTTTCATGTTTCACCTTCCCTAGTTAATGTTTACCCCAAAATAAATAATAATAACCTTTTCATTATAAGAGGGCTAGCTCAGGGTTAAGGAACTCAGTCATGGTAAACACTGCAATACGCAAAGGCTAAAGCCAGCAATCACAGAATGCTAACTTTTACATTAAAAAGCACCAGGAAGACAGCTCACACAGGTGAGCAGCCTTTTTTCCACTAACCTATTTGTGTTTTGAGAAGCCAGGATTAGTTCAAGTACTAAAATGAGCAAGTATCTCATTCTACTCCTCACTGGCTGATGCACTGTATATCTGAACATCTAAATCCATTATAGAGATGAGAATTAGGAGAATAAGCATCAAATAAACCATAAACGAAGGCCGTTGTTCCCCTGTGTTGTATAACAGACTTTGAGATTCATGTGCATTTTTGTATCGTTTACCTCCACAAGCTGTACTTTTCTCAACAGAAACTCTCTCTGAAAAACTGCTGTATCTGAGGCACATTCTGCTAGCCTGAACCTACCAGGAGAAGGGCAGCAGCCTTAGAAGACAGCAGATGGCTGGGACTTACAGAGCACGACAGGAGCACAATAACATAGCTACATACATTCTCCGATCAATGTGCTCCGGGCAGGTTCCTCCCGTGATATACCCCAAATTAATTTGGGGAGTGCAGCGAGAGAACCAACTCGGCTTGTCAAAAAGAAACCGTGGTCTGTATCTATGTTGTTTAGTACCACAAATTTTTCCCCTAAAAATCAAGCTAGAACCAGAGATTAGTTTATCCCCTATAAACACCAGACATGTCTCATAACACATTAAAACATAGGAAAGACACAGTTTAACTACTGTTAAAATACTACCTCGAAACAGTAATTCACACAACATAGTGCAGAGACACCCAGCGGTACCACCTTGGTTACAAAAACATTACTGTAATAGAACACCACACCTTGAACAAACACACCCTCCCTCTCAGACTACTTAAGATTAAGGGCAACACCACGCTTACGTAGCAATCTGCTTCCAGCTTTGATGCAAGGAGGATTCTGACTAGCTCAGG